TTTGCCGATGTCGATTTGGGGTCGCCGCCCCCTTCTTGCTTTCACTCTAAACTTTCTCCACCGCGACCATCTTCATGTCTCCTCCGCTTCATGTACTTCTCGACTTCGACTGGAGTCGGTGGCTGCTGCTTTTATCACTAATTTTGGAAGTCGATTACAAAGATTCAAGATGCATCGTACTCTATCTTCCCCACCGAAAATGCAGAAGTGGTTGATTGTCATCGGTTAACTCCACCGTTGATTCTTGTTAAGGTTTTAGTGTTTTGCTATGTCTTTGTTTTGTTTCATACGAACCCAAATACTTGTGTGTATGTGATCTGTTGTTTGCTTCTTTTATTACACCATTTTCTTGAAGATTCCTGGAAGCATATGCAAATTACTGTATGTTTAATATACAGATTGTACAAATGACAGCATTTGGTGGTTCAGCGGAGAAGGAGGCGAGAGCAAAAAGGCAACCGATTCCAACGGACCTAGCAAGATTTCAAACAAAGAAACTTAGGGTTTCTTGCTTTCTTCCCCAGTTCTATTTCAGTCACGTCTGTCAACAGAAATTTCTTTTGTTATTTCAGCTTTAACAACTCCATAATATCAATATTATGTCCTTTTATATTATTTTGGCACTTTTACGTATTATTTTTCAGCTTTAACAACTCCATAATTTCTTTTGTTATTTCAGCTTTATCAACTTCATTATCAGAAGCTCCTCAATAAAAGGTAAAAAAAATTATCATATCATTTTCGAAATGCATATCAGGTGTTTGCTTTTATGCTTCAAAGAGAAATAATCTTTCGATTATAGATTTTTTTTTCTCTCACTTCCTAATTATAGTTCCTGACTGTTTGCTTGCATTTTTGGTTTGCATTTACTCGCAGGTTTCACAGTACCAGGTAGGGACATACTTCTTTTAATACTATGGAGTTGTTAAAACTGAAACAACAAAAGAACTTTCTGTTGAGAGTTTGGTTGTGAAATGTATGATGGTTTGATACGTCTTTTAATACTATGGAGTTGTTAACACCTCGCTTCATTTTTGATAGGTTTTGAAGATTTAGTTATTTTTCTCATTTATTTCTTTATTTAATCTGGAGGGGTAATGGTGTAATTCTGGTGTTTTAGGGTTAGGACAGGCCCCCTTTTTTTTTCTATATATATTTTTCTTTCTTTCAGTGTTTCAATTAAGTTGTTACAATAATGAATAAAAGATACGTGAAGTATTCTCTCCATCTCTTCCGTGTTCTACAGTAGAGTCACTGAAATCATTATGGTATCAGAGCGGAGCTCGATCATGCTCTAATCAACTGTTCATCAACCAACCGGTTAAGTTTTTTTTTCTCTCTGAAACTCACGTATCAATCCATCCCCTGGTCGATTTATTCAAAATCAGTTTTTTTCTGTTCTTTCTGCATCTACTGTGGAAAGATTATCTCTCTATTTGGTCATCATGACTAATAATTCTATAAAATTCGGGAATATATCTTCTGCCTTTGTCAGTGAAGATGTTAGTTCTGGCTCTTCAAATGAAAACCCACGTCAAGCTCCACAAACTATCAATCCCGATTACATCACTTTACCCACTGCATATGAACTGAATGGTCAAAACTATAATCTTTGGTCTCACTCTATTTCAATCTTCATTGGAGGAAAGGGTAAAGAAGACTACTTGTCTATTAATCTTGTTCAACCAGATGATAAAAGCCCTACCTACAAAAAGTGGAAAGCAGAAAACAACATGGTTATGTAGTGGCTCCTAAATTCTATGACTCCTGAAATAGGTGAACAGTTTATGTTTTACAAAACTGCATCAGAAATTTGGGAAGCGGCTCGTGATACGTTTTCAAACCAAGACAACACTTCTGCATTATTTGAAGTCAAAGGGCTTCTCCATGATCTTCGTCAGGGAGAGTCAACTGTGACAAGTTATTTCATAGCACTGAACCGATATTGGCAGCAACTCGATGTCCTTGATGCTATAACTTGGAGCTGCCCAACAGATGGAAAACAGTACAAGCGACTGGTTGAAACAGAAAGAATTTATAAATTCCTTCTTAGGCTCAACCAAGAACTTGATGAAGTCCGTGGAAGAATTTTGGGTACTAAACCTATGCCCAGCATCAGAGAAGTGTTCTCAGAAGTCAGGCGAGAAGAAAGTCGAAGAAAGGTTATGCTGGGAAATGCTAGCAACATCACAAATGAGGTCTCAGCTCTTGCAACGCGTGCTTCATCCGGTATGAAATCTCCAGTGATTCCAGGAATATCTCAGAAAAGGAATGGTCGACCTTGGTGTGATCATTGTAAACGACCTGGTCATACCAAGGAAACTTGTGGAAAATTCATGGAAAACCATCTGACTGGAAACCTCGTGCAAATGCAACAACTAGTGACAACCAGGAGATTTTTAGCAAGGATCAAATTGAAGCTCTTAGGAAGATGTTGCAAATTACACCCCGTGAAGACAAAGGAGTTGCCACTGTTGCTCAGCAAGGTGGGATATCATCCACATTCATGACAAGTACAGGTAGAAAAAAACCTTGGGTGGTTGACTGTGGTGCTACTGATCACATGACAGGCGAACGGAGTGTATTCACTGAATTCCAACCGGTATCTAATGGCAGAACCATACGTGTCGCTACAGGAGAAGACGCAAAAGTAGGAGGCATTGGTACAATTGTCATATCCAAAAATATAACACTAAAATCTATGTTATATGTCCCTTCTCTCAATTTCAATTTGCTAGCCCCTATTAAACTGATGAGGGATTTAAATTGCATTACCATCTTAACCCCATCTGTATGTATGTTTCAGGACTTGAGTTCGGGGAAGATGATTGGCAGTGCTAAAGTTTGTGATGAGCTCTACCACATTGAAGTTGTGAAGACAGGAAAACATCCAGTTTCATCTTTGTTTCATGTTTCTAGTCAAAATAATGTGATGTTATTGCATCATAGGTTGGGTCATCCAAACTTTTATTATTTAAAAAAATTGTTTCCTCATTTAGTGAATAAAAATCCAACTGCTTACAACTGTGAAGTTTGTCAAATATCCAAACATGTTAGACATTCTTATTCTCCACTCCCGTATAAACCCTCTCATCCATTCTGTTTAATCCACAGTGATGTTTGGGGTCCTGCCAGAGTAAAAAATATCTCGGGTGCGAGATGGTTTGTTACTTTTATCGATGACCATACTCGTGTTACTTGGGTTTTTCTAATGAAAGAAAAATCTGAAGTTGGGTCGATCTTCCAGCGTTTTCATCAAATGGTCCAAAACCAATTCGCAACAAAAATTCAAGTGCTCAATCTGATAATGCAGAAGAATAATTTCATTCCGAGTTGAGCAACTATCTTACTCAACAAGGAATCATTCATCTCACATCTTGTTTTGACACTCCCCAACAAAACGGGATCGCGGAAAGGAAAAATAGACATCTACTAGAGGTAACTCGTTCGTTACTATTATCTAGTTCAGTTCCAAACTATTTCTGGGGCGAAGCAGTTTTAACTGTTGCGTACCTTATTAATAGGATGCCTTCTCGAGTCATTTCTTTCAATACTCCACACCAATCTCTTCAATCTAGCTTTCCCCACATTCGAATTATATCCCAGGTGGAACTTAAAATATTTGGTTGCACCTCATTTGTTCATAATCATCAGCCAAATCATAGCAAGCTTGATCCTAGATCATTCAAATGTGTCTCTCTAGGATATTCCCCGAACCAGCGTGGTTACAAGTGCTACTCTCCTTCCACTAAAAAATTATATCATTCCATGGATGTCACATTCTTTGAAGATAAACCTTATTATTCCAAAACCGATATTCAGGGGGAGAAATGTGGGGAATATCAGTTTTTGGACTATCCCACCTTATTCCCTTCCGAGTCGATCCCACACATGGATATTCCCGACCCAATACCAAGTTCGGTTGAAGTCGATACCAACCAGTCAAATCCAAGTATTCCGGAATTTGTCCCAACTTCATCAACAGATGAAACCTTAAATAATGGTGCTCAAAAAGACTACATTGTCTATACCCGGCGGCCGAAATAGCAAGCCAAAGTGGTAGAGCAAGTCAATACTGAAGCATACAGCCATGAATCTGGCCCAGATTCAACAGGTAATACTCAACCTAAAGATTCTAGTTCTTATATTTCCCCTGATGGGTCAGCTGATCTAGATATTCCAATTGCCTTACGAAAAGGGAAGAGAAGTTGTATTATGCACCCAATTAGTAACTTCGTTTCATATGATAAACTCTCACCCAAATAAAAAGCTTTTGCTCTTTCAGTTTCAAAAATTCAGGTTCCTAGAAACTTTCAAGAAGCTATTTCAAAAAGGGAATGGGCAAATGCAGTGAATGAAGAAGTAAATGCCCTTCAGAAAAGCAAAACTTGGGAGTACACTAACCTTCCACCAGGAAAAAAGACTGTGGGGTGTAAGTGGGTGTTTGCTGTCAAGTACAACTCCGATGGAAGTGTAAGTCGATTTAAAGCAAGACTAGTCGCTAAGGGTTTTACACAATCTTACGGGATCGACTATGCAGAATGTTTGCTCCTGTGGCAAAACTAAACTCCATTCGTGTATTACTCTCTCTTGCTGTAAATCTTGACTGGCCGTTACATCAACTTGACGTGAAAAATGCGTTCTTAAATGGGGTGCTAGAAGAAGAAGTCTACATGGATGTTCCACCGGGACTCGAGTCCCCAGAGAACAAAGGAATGGTGTGCAGACTTAGAAAATCCTTGTACGGCCTGAAGCAGTAACCTAGAGCATGGTTTGAAAAGTTGACCCAAGTGGTGAAACGATATGGATTCATTCAGGGGCAAACCGATCATACGATGTTCACCAAACACTCCCGTGATGGACGGGTTGCAATAATGATTGTCTACGTAGATGATATCATTATAACTGGAGACTACTCAGAGGAAATTAAGGAACTGAAACTCATATTAGGAAGAGAATTTGAAATAAAAGATCTTGGACAACTTAAATACTTTCTTGGTATGGAAATTGCAAGATCAAGAAAGGGCATTTCTGTATCCCAAAGAAAGTACACTCTCGATCTCTTGGAAGAAACTGGTTTATTGGGGTGCAAACCAGCAAGTGTACCAATGGAACCGGGAATTAAATTCCGAACAGAAAGCGAAGATGAGCAGGTAGACAAAGGAAGATACCAAAGACTAGTGGGAAAATTAATATATCTTGCACACACAAGACCGGACATCGGGTTTGCTGTAGGTATGGTAAGCAGGTTCATGAATGCCCCTACAACAAGGCACATGAAAGTTGTTTTTCAGATTCTCCACTACTTGAAAAAAAATCCTGGATATGGATTATTGTTTAAAAAGACCGGTGAGAGGGGAGTAAACATTTATACAGATGCTGATTGGGGAGGATTTTGTGTAGATGGACGATCAACTTCAGGCTATTGCACGTTTGTGTGGGGCAATCTGGTGACTTGGAGAAGTAAGAAGCAGTCCGTGGTGGCTAGAAGCAGTGCTGAGGCTGAATTCCGAGCAATGTGTCAAGGAATCTGTGAAGGAATATGGTTAAAAAGAATGTTGAAGGAACTAAAACTTGAGAGTCTTAAGAAAATGACTCTATTCTGTGACAATAAAGCTTCAATTGAAATTGCAAGAAACCCTGTTCATCATGATCGCACAAAACATGTGGAGATTGATCGTCATTTCATTAAAGAAAAATTAGAATCTGGAATTCTGGAGTTGTCCTATGTTCCATCAGACTTCCAAATTGCTCTTCCAAATTGCTGATATTCTCACAAAGGCCCTTCCAAAGAATAAATTCGAAAATATGAAGAGCAAGTTGGATATGATTGATATCCATATCCAACTTGAGGGGGAGTGAAGATTTAGTTATTTTTCTCATTTATTTCTTTATTTAATCTGGAGGGGTAATGGTGTAATTCTGGTGTTTTAGGGTTAGGGCCGGCCCCCTTTTTTTCTATATATATTTTTCTTTCTTTCAGTGTTTCAATTAAGTTGTTACAATAATGAATAAAAGATACGTGAAGTATTCTCTCCATCTCTTCCGTGTTCTACAGTAGAGTCACTGAAATCATTAGGTTTAATGCATGTAATTTATGTATATGCGATTCCTTCTCCCAGTTTGTCAGCATGTTGGTTTTTTTATCTAATTCATATTTAATTGAATGTGTTCTGCAGCAGCAATCCCTTGCAGATATGGGATAAACAAAGTCGGTGGCAAGTAGTAAAGGCTCTCGGGTATTACTTTGAATTGTTGTCAAAATGGGCATATTAAGATTGATTATCCTACTGAAATTTTGTTACAAAGAAAAGGGTATTTTTGACATTTTTCCTATCTTTTTAGACCTGCATTATGAAGTCGTCTATTTGACAAAGCGTATGTCCTTAAAGGTCGATAATTTACGGACTATTTTTATTATATGTGATTATAGGTAATTTACGGGTTATTTTGATTAGTTGTGATTAGAGGCAAATTCTTGGTTACATTTAAATCTATTCAACAGCAGTAACAATGAATTGCAACCATGATCAGAGGTGGAGTTCCTCCCTTTCCTATCAACATGTGCATGAAAGTTACCTCCTCTCATCATTATACAAAAATTGCCACTTTATTGGTTATTATTTTATCTGTAGATTCGTATGTTGGATTTGGAAAAAGAGTAACAGCATAATTATGGTGCAATTATATATGCTAATTGTTCAAATTAGTAGAGTATTTATGGTATTTTTTTGTTTTACAATTTATGAATTGGAATCTGGAACTACAAGCCCATTCACGGCATGAAATTGAGAAATAGATGAGATCGATTAAGAGGAAATAAAGAGTAGTCAAATAGATAACGGATTGTTGTCTTGATACATTGACCCATGTTTTTTGGCTAAACACTTTTAGTCATTATGTTGTTGATTAGGTAAAAAAAGATACAAGTGTAGGATTTTTCTAATTGAATTGGATCTTAATTGGACTTCGTATCGATTTTTAGTCCAACAGCTTCAACGATTATTAAAATTAAGGAACAACCTTAGATCAAAATCTGATATTGCAAAATGGTTACCGGTATAACTGCGATTGTATATTATGACTATTAGTTGGGTTCTTTGTCATAAATGGAATTTGTAAGAACTGGTTTGCACTATAATTCACAAAAATGTTGTGCCACCAATTTCTTGAAGTTCCCACTAATAAGTCTAGACTACCAATACATAGTCGTTGCATTTTGATTTTTCTTTTTTGAAAAAAATACCCAAATATAGCATCGTAGTCTAAAAAATGCCTTCATATAGCATTCTGTTTTCACTTTTTTATTTTATTATTTTTTTTTTTTTTTTAGAAATCTATCAAACATCGCATCTTACTTTCATTTTAAAAAAAAAATTACACCAACATAGAATTGTAGTTACAAATTTTGATTCTAACATTTTTGGACCAAACTACCCCTGCATACTGTTTCTATAGTTAAAAATTTTGATTTTAAGATTTTTGGACGAAACTGCCCCTGCATATTGTTTTTAAACTTTAAAAAAATTGTTTTTAACAGTTTTAGACCAAACTGCCCCTGCATACTAATTTTTTAGTTATTTTTTTTATTTTAACAGTTTTGGACGAAAATGCCCTTGCATAATGTTTTTATACTTAAAAAAATTTGAATTTAACAATTTTGGATGACACAACTCTTGCATATCGTTTTTATAGTTAATCTTTTTTTGATTTCAACGGTTTTGAACTCAGATTGATGTTGAATATATTTAAGTAGTAAATTGAGTAAATAGCGATATACTTTGCATTTTGTTTTTATTCCTTTACCAAAAAAACAAAGTACATAGTCATTTTTTGTTTTTCCATCTTTAGGTGCTAAATGCAATAAATAGCAACGAGCTTTGAATTTACACATTTTTTTCGGTTTTTTTTTGTAATTTCTTTTATTTTTTTTTCCAAAAACCAAACTACATTGCTATTAGGTGCATTTTCCATTTTTACGAGTAAAATGACCCAAATGGCAACATACTTTCAATTTATATGTATTTTTTTTTCCATTTTTACTAGTGACATGCCCCAAGTGCATTCTCATTTAGGAAAGAAGAACCATGGATACACCAGCCGTCGGATTTAATCTCCGATTTCACAACTTCACCATTCTTTAAGGTAACTTCTATACCGGACATATGCTATGTTTGTTTTTTTGTTGTCTAAGATTACATTTTCTAATTTTTGTTTTTATTTTTTTATTGTTGCACAGCAGCTGTTCGCTGGAATACCTACATGAATCCACATGTCAAGAATGAAGCTTTTTTAGGTGAATTTGCCACCGCCATTTTTCGTTGATTTGTAGTATCACCAGGTAACTTTTGTTAATTTTTATGTTCCTTTTACTATGTTTAATATATAGATTGGTAATAAAATGAATGAACATTAATAGATCATGCATTTGGGAAATTGAGTTTATGAAAATACTTTTTTTTTTCAGGGGTAGCTGTTGCCTGGAAAGCTGCAAATGTGAAAACTGGAACTACAGTGGTCGTATTTGGACTAGGTGTAGTTAGGCAAGTTGTATGATTCTTATGAACTTATATAAATGATTCTTATGAACTTATATAAAGATACAAATTTAAAAGGGTCCATAACAGTAAAATGGGACAGTGTATGTTTTTTAAATTGACTTGCCCTATAACAATACTCAAACTATATACAAATAGTTGATCAAATGACATTTACAAAGACCAAACAACGGAAAAAATTGTCGCATCCGACCCCCGCAACGCGGGGGTCCCCACTTAGTTCTTACGGATTTTGTTGATAATTTAATTAAATGATTAATTAAAGGATATTTAATAAATCCATATATTTTAAAATGTTTTAAAATACACCTTATACTATATATATATATATATATATATATATATATATATATATATATATATATATATATATATATATATATATATATATAACTAAAGGTTTAATATATATTATATGTATAATACAAAGTCAATCAAACCGCTAGTACGCCTCATTCACGAAGCCATACTATAAGGGGCGTTTAAGGAAACGGCCTGTAAAATTACCGAAATTGGGTATCCATTCTTACCCACCGCTCTCTTGTATGGTGGAGGGTCGTTAGCCGAACGGGTTTGATAGGAAAAAATAATTCTTATTAATAAGTATAATGAATTATAAAGTAATTACATCATTTTTCTAAAAATCCCACTCTTAGTTACTTTATGAATAATGTGAATTTGATGCTAACCCATGAAATTGATCATTGCACCTTATTGGTCGTTAGTGAAGCGTGTGTGATTAACTGGCACACTAATATGGGACTAATATTATTCGCAATGGGTGTCTCGTAAATTATCATTGAATTAATGGAGCGCGTGTGGTTAACCGACACGTTAATTTTAGATGCTAAATGACATCGAGAGTACCAAGCTAATTTGCATGGTTATTCACATCTTATTTGTGATCCTCGGCATCCTAGTCACAAAGTGAGAGCATAATCGAGATTAAACATGCCTTTGAATGGTTCAATGAATCTCAAAAGATCTTGGAGTTTCATAAGATTGAAATTGGTAAATGCTTTACCTACCTAAAACAGATTCGAATTTGATTACGACAACCCTCTTCAGAATTGGATTCGAAAATATGGATCTTAGTCGTAATTTAAATTTTTGGGTTAATAATTAAGGATTAAAATCAACTAACTTGAATTCTCTTTTCTCCCTTTATATATGTCGAGTCAAGACAACAATGGTTCTCCTCGTCCTTCTGGAAATGTTTTTCTTTATGAATATGATCTTCCACATGTTGATCAAGGTGAAAGAATGTTCCCTTCTTCAAGCAATGGTGGAACTGGAAATCATGCTTCTCCAACTCTTCCTCCACCTCCTCTAGTGACTCTCCCTAAGTCATGTCTTCTTCAAGTTGAAAAGTACGAAACTACTCAAGCCCTATTGGCATGTAAACATCAAGATGGAAAGTCTGTATGTGCGTATGTTCTAAAAATGAAATCGCACATTAACAGATTAGGGATGTTGGGTGTCGTTTTCCCAAGGGAGCTGACCATTGACTTGGTTCTTCTTTCGTTTCCTGAGTCATATAGTTAGTTCATCAAAGATTACTATATGAGGAATCACGACGTGACCCTAATTGATCTAACATATATGTTGATTGCTGCTGAAGCAAAAATGCTTAAGAGCACAAGTCAAGCAAATATGCTTGAAGGATTTGTCTCCCAAATTTCCATAGACATTGACAATGGCAAAATTGGTAGTCCAGAAAAGGTTTCTCTTACTAATGGAAAGGGGTCGGCCAAGGTCAAACCGTTTGACCATATGGTAAAGAGAAAGGCTAATTCTGAGATAGTCCCATGTGCTATTCCTGAAAAGTCCATATGTTTCTATTGCCAGTTAAAGGGGCATTGGATGCGAAGCTGCCCTATCTACCTGAATGATCTTAGAGATAGTAAAGTCAAATGGTGTGACTCTACTTCAGGTACATCCACTATCTAACTCCATTAAGTTCTTATTCATAGATTCTTAATGCATGATGTGATAGTCACATTTTGATGTTTTTGCAGGATCTAAGAGAAAGAAGGAAGCTTAAGAAGAGTGAGTTGAATCTGATCGAGAGAGATGGATTTCGGTCGCATGGCTCGATGATCAGATTCTGGAAGCTACTACTTGAGAGTTATGATAACTTAATAAATTGCTTAGGAAATGTCTAGAAACATTGTTTTCATATTTTTTGCATTGTAACGACAAGTTCCAAAATTTTGTTTATTATCAATAAAAGTGAAATTTTGGTTTATATAGTTGGTTATATTTCCTTGCAATGACATTTATGAAAATTGGTGGTTACATTTTTATTATTAGCAATGTTAAATGTGGATTTGATTCTTAGTTATATCGTTTGTGGTAAATATCATAATTAATCAAGTGAAAAGGAATTCTCATCGCCCAAGTTTCAATTGGATAGAAACTTGGAGTCATACAATTCGAATTGTGTGATATATGAGAATCTTGATCGTTGGAAGATTAAGACTAATTCGTTGATCACATGTTTATGTGAGTCAAAGTGAAGGACTATTGGATCTAGTACATATTGATATGGACTCTTGGGATCCACTACAAAGGACGATAACTCTATTCGTCATGGTTTACCGATGTTTCAATAAACATGGTTGTGTTTATAAGATTAAGCATAATTATAACACTTTGAAAAAGTTTTCAAAGAGTAGTAGAACGAATATGAAGAATCTGTTAGGCAGAAAGATAAAA